AGATCTGAATGTGATTCAGATCTAGAAACCTCCTAATGAGATTAGGAGAAAGCTAATCTAATCTGCAGATAAGATATGGGTTTATCYTTATCASYTGAAGAGAAGGCTGATCCAAATATGATTTGGATAAGCAGCTCCTAATGAGATTAGGAGCTTATCTTTTTAGGTTAACAAAAGAAGGAGGGGCGGCAGCCTTTAAGAGACACACATCAGATTTTCTTCAGTGCTGAAATCTCAAGAAGAAAGAATTCTGCACCCTGCGAATACTCTCTTGCCGCCTCCATGTTCTTGCCGCCTTGTTTGCCAGTTCGATCTCCAGTTGTAGGAGAAGTCAAGATTCGATCTTGACATCAGTTCTTTGAGAAAGAAATGATAGGTAGCTGTGCTCACGTGCCATCCTGCTGATTCTTGTGAAGGATAGAGTTCTTGGAGAAGAACACTGCTGATTCTACTCCATCTTGCACTGTGCCATCTTCAGTGGGAGCAGTCTTTGGATCCTTCCTTGGGCGTGAACACCTTTGTTGGGAGATATTATTTATCCGTATTAGGTACAATCCTCTCCTACTTCCTTTGGTTCAGATCTGGTTCAATTTATGGTTCAAGAATGATCCTTGAAAATATGATTTTCTAAAATGGGGAATGCAATTCCCAGTTGAAGGGAGAGAAAAATTTTTTAAATTCGCCCCCTTATTCCGCAATCTTTGGGCATCTATACGATGGGGAAGGGCCATCGTATAACGCCGAGGTCCTGGACAGCCACCCTCCAATAAGTGGGGAAGGGCCACCCTACGGTGTTCCGGACTACAAAGTATCCTGCTTCCAAGCTGGGACTTTGCTAGGAAGCTTGTGTAGTAACCTGAAACTCGAGCGAGGGGACAAGTAGTAGGCCCACCTGTGCTCGGGGAGAACGCTTGAAGTGTTCTTCTTTTTTGACAGAATGGAACAAAAAATATCTAAATCTAGAGGGAGGGCGTAATCAAAGCAGAGGGAGATGATCCCAACCACATTACGAATGGAGTTCGGGTGGAGCTAGTCTACTATGGCGTTAAAGTGGTTCAGAATTTCTATGACAAGAGGGTGGAGAGGAAGACGGAGCCCATCTATGAGCTGCTCCCAGAATATTACRATCTCGTCAGGACCATGCTCCCATGGGAAGTTGCCCGCAGGCAAGCTGTAGGTGTACTCCCTAGGTATGTTATACTGCCGGATGAGGTGTCGGAACCTCTCTAGGGTCATTGTGGAAGGACCGAACCTATCTAGCATCTGACCTCGGTGAGAGGTGGACGCCAGATTACCCGAGGTCGCCCACACCTCGTGAGACTGGACTTCGGTAGGGACACCTTGAGCCGAGGTACCCACCTCAGGCTCATCCAATTGACTGTCAAAACTAGACATTAAACCGAACTGGAAGAAATAAGGAAACTGAGCAAAGCTAAAGGGGACTCACCAAGGAAAAGCAACCGAACTAGGGAGAATTGACCCAAGCTGAAGACCTTAGACGTGAGCTCAAGACGAATGCTGAGAACTTATGGCGAGGGAAAAATGAACAGGACCCCCACTATTTATAGCCGCTATGCTCTGGCATCAACGCTCAAGATCAAGACGATCTAACAGCTCTCAAGAAAATCGGCTACGCGACCCCCGAGGTGAAATCAGTTTAGCGCATTTTTTGACGTCCGTAGAGTCCATAATTCGCTTGACGTCCGCGCGTGAACTGTACGCGGTCCGGGTTACCCTTGATTGAGCCGAGCAACGAATTGGTTCGACCAATGATCTATCTAGCTGGATGGCCTGAGCTACGGGTCAAATCCACCCGTCATCCCGTGAACTCCCCACGTTGGGTCAGAACCCTTAGCACGGGGAGTGGGGGGCAATTGATGGAGGGTGATTTGGCCCGACCTCGTAGCATGGGGACACGTGGACATTACCTGGTGTAAGTGACAACTCAGCATGACATCCTAGCCACAACTCAGCGTAACGAACTCGCCGGAGCCTGGCCTGACAGCTCGGTTGACGAAGCAACTCGCCGGGAAGTAACATCCAGTTCACCCCGAATTCTCTCCAAGGGTGGAGTGAGCCGAGCTCCCCCCTGCGTGGGGACCCGAGCTGCTCTAAGACCCGAACTCCTCCCATTGAGCCCCGAGCTCTTCCTAAGAAGGGAACACCCCGACCTACGGCTAAGTATCTCGAAGTGGAAACACTTCGGGTTAGCGCCATTAACACTCCGTACTTGCCAGACCCGCTTCAAGCATAAGTACCTCGACACATCCCCAACATCTCGGTGTAAGGTAGCTCGGTACAAAGTAGCTTGGCAACCTGCAAAAAATCTGCCTGACAATAGTACCTGTCAAATCTGGAGGTTGCGCCCACGTCTCTTGTCAGGTGGCGTCGTGCCTGCCCACTCTGAGAAGTGTTTCACATCTGGCAGGGCCGTACTCTGTAACAGCTACCTGCGCCCACCACCTCAGCTCTGACAGTAATGGCTGTGGCAGGGAGACAGAGGCGGTTACGCTTGACTTGACAAAGGCGGTTACGCCTGATTTGACAGAGCTCCAGTATAAAAGAGCCTCAACCCCCAGGGGTGAAGGTAATGATTTTTGCTCTATCTGCACTCTTAGCTACTTGCATTCTCTATTTTTGTCTAAGAGATCTAACTTAAGCATCAGAGTGTCCCCGTCAGGCGAGCTCCCCGGGAATCCTTCACCATCTTCTTCACCTCAGGTACCATCTGTCGCCAAATAGGAGCCAAGTCAGTGCCAGCTAGGAGTGATCGGATTGCACTGCATCAGTTTTGTTTTACCCCAAATCTAGTCTTTGGTAAAAAACCATTAAATTAATTAATGATTCATTAATCTGGATGGTTAAAATGTTGATTTATTTAACACATTTACCCTTTTTATTTTAATTATTTTTTAATTTTTTGTTAAATCAGGCCATTCATTCTAACTACACCTAGGTGTGTAAAGTGGGCCATGTCGAGCTGGCATAGCCTAGCTCGTGGGTAGCCCACACAAAGTACAGGTCGTGTTGTGCTGGCCCATGGGCCGTCATGGGCCGTGCCTGCCTCCCTAGTGAAAATTTTGGGGGTTGACTTGGCATAGCCCACGGTTCAAGCCTCTACGGGCCCATGTCATGTTGTGGGCCGGGCCAACCCGTGGGCCGAGCCTTGGGCGAGGTTGAGCCATGCATCAAGCCAAATCTATTTATTTAAAAAAATTAACTAAAAACTTAAAATTTAATTTTATATAAACTTCGTGTATAAAATTACTTATATATGCAATAATTAAATAAATTAGTATGATGAAATTAAAAAAATATTTACTTTATTAATATAGGCCATGCGGGGCTGGGCTGCCAGCCATGCGGGGCGGGGCTGGGCTGCCAGCCCTGTGGGCCACGGGTATCATGGTCATGCCGGRCCGGTCCAAGTTCGTACGCATGTCACATTCTCACCTACTCAAGCSGTACCACCCCGGCCCCACCCCGTGACAGCGGGATTATGATTTCATATCACATCTACAAACGCGCCAGCCGCCAGCCATTTGTACCAACTCCGCCAATATTGACAATACTTAATATCGGGACCATTAATTATTTATTCAAATGATTGACTTAAGAATTAATCAACCTAGAAATCAAGGTGGTATGCTGAGCTGTATCCACGGCTTCCTGGTAATTATCATCACATTTCTTCTTTGTTTCATTCCTATGTAAGCACCCAGACATTGTTTTCACCTGAGAGATCGTATCCTTCATTCTACTACAATCACTATTTTCATTTTTTTGACGTTCCTGTTCTAAGAGAGGATCGATGGCGGCAGGGGCAGTTATTTCTGCTATTGTGGAGAACCTTTTAGGGAGCTTGAGCTCTCTGATCGGCCGTGAGATTGCACTAATATATGGTGTCAATTCAGAACTGAAAATTCTCAGCAGGAGGTTATCAACAATTCAAGCCGTGCTTCAAGATGCAGAGGAGCAGCAAATCAACAAGCCAGCTGTGAAAATTTGGCTCCAGAGTCTCAAGGATGCGGCTTACGATGCAGAAGACGTATTGGACGAGTTCCTGACAGAAGCTCTTCGTCGCAAAATGGACAATCGCGCGATGACAAAGGTAAGCAACATCTTCTTACGCTCTAGAATGGGTCATAAAATTAAGAGGGTTATGGAAAAAATAGACAGAATTGCAGCTGAAAGGTCTCAGTTTAATTTGAGGGAGTCTGAAGTGAACAGAAGAGTTGAAAACATAGAGGGACGAGAGACTGATTCCTTTGTGATTGAATCAGAAGTTTATGGAAGAGATGAAGATAAAGAGAAGATTGTAAAAATGCTAATCAGCAGTGGTGACGAAGCTGATGATGTCTCAATCATAGTCATCCCCATCGTTGGCATGGGGGGACAAGGCAAGACAACAATTGCTCAGCTAGTATACAATGATGACAGAGTAAAAGGGTACTTTAACCTACGAATGTGGATCTGTGTTTCTGATGATTTTGATGTAAAAAAGCTTGTAAGATCAATTATAGAATCTGCTACGGCTGGTGCTAAATGTGACATCTCAGACATGGATCCATTGCAGCATCGCCTACAAGAGGTGTTGTGGGGGAAGCTATTTTTACTCGTTCTAGATGATGTATGGAATGACGATCATGAGAAATGGGATAGATTGAGAAAATATTTGATGTGCGGAGCAAGAGGAAGCAAAATCATGGTAACTAGTCGCAGTTACGGAGTGGCAGAGATAATGGGCACAGTGGAACCATACACTCTAGGGGTTTTATCTGTGGAAGACTGTTGGTCCTTATTCAGGAAAAGAGCTTTTAGGGACAGAGGCGAAGAAGAGGCTAATCCAAATCTGGTGACTATAGGAAAGGAGATCGTGAGTAAGTGTGGAGGACTACCGTTAGCTGTAAAAGCTCTAGCTGGTCTATTGAGGTGTAAGAAAGAAGAGAAAGAATGGTTGTCAGTTAGAAACCACAGGAGTAGTTTAATCGAAGATGGAAGTGGAATCTTACCTGCCCTGAAATTGAGTTACAATAGTCTCCCATCACCCATGAAACGATGTTTTGCTTTTTGTGCATTGTTTCCTAAGGACTACAAAATTCCAAAGAATACTCTAATTCAGTTGTGGATGGCGCATGGCTTTATTCCAGCTGAGTTGTCATCCGCAGGGAAAGAGGTAGAGGATGTTGGAAATGATTATTTTAATGACTTTCTAAGGAGGTGTTTTTTTCAAGATGTCGTGAAAGATGAATCTGGAAATATTAAGGAATGTAAGATGCACGACCTAGTGCACGATCTTGCTGGATCTATTGGTGGGAAAGAATGCATGACTATGGATGTTGGGAATGATAATTGGATGGAAAGTATTCATAAAAGGATTTATCATGCGTCAATTTACTGTCGTTATAATAATAATAGGGAACCAGTAGAAGTTTTCACAGCGCTCCACAAGACACAGAATCTACGAACATTGCTTCTTTTGCACCATTATGGGGAGTTTCTTCGACCACTTGGTTGTTCCTTAAGATTTAAGGGATTACGTGTGCTTGATTTACATTATACAAATATTAAGAGGCTGCCCATTTCCATCACTCATCTTAAACATCTACGGTATTTAAACCTCTCTCACACTCCTATTAGGAAACTTCCAACCACCTTTACCTCCCTCCAAAATCTACAAACCTTGAAGCTCTTATATGCTTATCGCCTTGCAGAGATGCCACGAGACTTGAGAAAGATGGTTAACCTCAGGCATCTTGAATTTTTTGGTACATACGTGAATAAGATGCCATTAAGGATGGGGCAACTAACAGGGMTACAAACGTTGACAAGGTTTATTGTTGGTAAAGAGATAGGTAGGACAATAACAGAGTTAAAGGACCTAAATAACCTCCGAGGTCAGATTAGGATTGAAAAACTGGAAAATGTGAGGAGTGCAAGTGAAGCAGAGACAGCCGACTTGAAGAACAAGCCAAACCTATGTGGGTTGGAATTACGTTGGGAAGACGATAATTTGGGAGAAGAAGAGGTGGGGGTGGAGGGTGTGATAGAATGCCTTGAGCCACATCCGAATTTGAAAAAATTAAAGGTAGAAGGATATCCAAGACCAGAGATTCCAAGCTGGATGTTACTACTACCAAACCTTGTTACACTAGAATTAGTGGATTGCAAAAAATTGGAATCTCTCCCGCCTTTGGGAAAATTGCACAACCTCAATGTGCTCCATATTCAAGGGCTAGACGCAGTTACCCACATGGGTAATGAATTGTTGTATGGTTCTGATGATCGCATTAATGAAGGCARCAGGGCAACAGTGGCATTTCCGTCACTGACCAATTTTACAATAACACATATGGCCAATTTGGAAGAATGGTTGTTTTTCCCCATGAATAACAGCAATGATGACAATGAACATGAGCAACGACAAGTAGCAGTAGTTTTATTGTTTCCTCGCCTTAAATATTTGAACATCTGGGATTGTCCTAAACTGGAGTTTTTGCCAGAGTGGATTGACTGTTTGGTATCGCTTCGAAGGCTCACCCTTTTCCATAATCCAAATCTTCGGAATCTTCCGATAGCAATTCAACATCTTCACTCGCTTCAATCATTAGAGATCCATGAATGTCCCCAGTTAAGGATACAATGTGATAAGGAGCGAGGTCCAGATTGGCATAAAATAGCTCATATTCCAGACGTTCGTATACATTAGATGATCATCATTCACCCCATGCATACTTCAAACAGATGTTGGCATTGATGGATACAGGGAATTACTTTGACGTTGCTCTCATTCTTCCACCTCAAAATAAAGGCAAGTTCCTTCTCCTAGTATCTATTAATTCTTACTCATTCCTGTGATTTTTCTCTTATTGTTCTTCCATATGCAATAAGATCACTAATAAATACCAGTGTTTTGATTCCGCTTTTGATGATTCACTATTGATTCTTATCTTTTTTATCTCAACTCTCTATTTGTTTTCTTTGTTTCTACAAAAAAATAATATATGCAGAGGTGGTGACTTTTCTTTACTGATTTCACTCAATAGTATATACTAGTATTTCAATAGTAAGATCATTTGCAAATTGTATTGTTTTATTCACATGAAACATTGCATAAAATGTAGAAAAATATAAAAATTGAAAATAGAAATTGCATAAAAATGGAAAAAATTGTCTGACACTTCTGTTGTGCCTTTTGAAGACATTGATGAATTCTCTATGATTGTCGAAATTTGATTATATTTCGTTGAATCGTATCAGGTTTCACATCTCCCCTGGGATTGCTACCAATGGCACCATGTCCATAAGATGTTCCTGATTGGGCAGTGCTCAAAAACTTTGTTCGCATAGTTTTGGTTTGTATTGGGATATGAAGATGACGTTCAAGGTACAAATTTGAGGGTCTGAGAGAGTTAGAGTTAGTGTATGTTGAGACGGGACACAGTTCAGATACYGAAGTACATGCAATTAGTGATGTTGACCTCAACCCAACCTAACTCGGCTCAAATTGCACCCACTAATTACTACCCTCTTCTGTCTCTATGCTCTGCACAGGGGTGTCAATTGGACCCGATTTGGCCCAATCCAGTCCAGTCCTATGTGCATCCTTTACAGATAGGCCAGGTCCAATCCAATGCAATGAAGATTCGGATCATTTTGGATCAGTCCAATTCAATATCCGCATCTTTCAATCTGTTCAAATTGATTTTAATTTGGTTCGTTTCAAATCAAATTTGGTTCATTGATACTTGTATTCTTATCTTCTATCAGTGGATCAGATATTGATTCAATCCAACCCAATCAAATATAATTCCGTTATATTGGTCTGTCCAATCTGTTCAAATTGATTTTTGAGTTGGACGAATCCAACCCAAAACCAATTCATTGACACCTCTAACCCTTCTCTCCTTGGTCATTTGAAGTTTTTATGGACTAGGCCACTCGGTGTGCTGTCTATTGAGGTCTGTTTTTGCAAATTTAAAATAAATAGGACTAAACTATCAAAATAATGCCTTAATTAGGGGTGATCATTTCAGCCTGACCTGGAAATTCTGGGCTTGGGCCTGGGTTTTGTGTTCAGGCCCAGCCCAGGCATGGGCCCACATCAGGCTTGTAAATTTTAGGGCCGGGTTTGGGCCTAATACTTCAAACCCGGCCCGCATATATTTAAACATACACATTTTGTGTGCAATATATATATATATACATGTTATTTTATATTATATTATATATTTATATAAATATTATAATATGACATGTATAATTTATATCATATATAATATTTTATATTATATAATGTACAAAATAAGTTTATATGTGTGTCATATATTATTTAATATAAAATATTATAAATATGCAATGTTTTATATATGAAAGATATATGCTTAGCCTAATTCTACTTGATTAGGCTCATGTTGACTCTTTAGCCTCKGATAGTTTCATTGTGAAAATGTATGTATATACAAAAATGGACTGCACCTAAAATCTGGTCAAGTTCTAATTGTTGATGTTGACTCTTTAGTAATAAGATCAATTAAGCACAATGGATCGAGTTAAGATAATCCACTAACCCACGTTGACTTGACCTAGAATAGCCTATAAATTGAGTTTTAGGTCCACTTTGGCTGAGTATAGGGGTGTTATGTGTGGGACAGATCAGGTTGGATTTATGTTGAACTAACCAATTAATACCACTACTCAGATCTGTTAGACAGTTTTGTATGCCCTTAGCTTCAATCCGATTTGATGTACTTTTGATATTTAGTGTAAATAAATAAAGTTCATGTTTGATTCATATTGTTTGGTATAATTCTGTGCAAGACCCTAAAACCGGACACTTATTGAGACTCGTGTTAGTTTTAAATGTTCACAGCCATTGAATAAGTCTGGGGAGATTTATCCTGCCAAGGCTGATACTAGTGTGCCACCAAGTGTTGGGATGGTCTGTCTCGGCCACCAGGGTATGACCCAAGGCAGATGCAGTATGGGATTACTTGAATCATTGAACCGGACTAGATTTTTAGTATTGCCCTGAACCTTGGAGACAGATGGGCAAAATTGGAAAGTTACACCAGACCCCTACACTCGATTATGATACTTCACTAAGTGTCGGATCGGGTTGTCTTTGATATGCCAATTAGTGAGATCCTTAGTGGGGGTCAAAACCTGGTCATATTTGGACAGTCTGAGAATTCATCTGAGTGGGTGATCATAGTGACAG